AAGTTTGCCCGAAGATGATTAGCTGCTGGAAAATAGTGGAAACCGACTGTCTATCCCCACGAGACAACAAAAGCACATCATCAGCAAATGCAAGGTGGCATATATCATGGACATTACATTTCGGGTGGAAGCGAAAGTCACTATGCCTCGACGCTAGCTTAAGCATTCTGGAGAAGTATTCCATGCATAAGATGAATAAATATGGTGATAGTGGATCACCCTGTCTAACTCCACTCTTCCCAGGAAAGAAACCATAAAGAGTGCCATTAACTGCAACAGAGAAGGATGTAGTTTCAACACAGTTCATAATTAAGTGCACAAATCGATCTGGAAAGCCAAACACATGCAGCAGCTGACGCAGAAAATGCCACTGAACTGAATCAAAAGCTTTCTTAAAATCAACCTTCATGAGACATCTAGGAGAAGCTCTTTTCCTGCTGTAATGACGAAGGAGCTCCTGGACTAAATTGATGTTGTCTGACATCATTCTCCCACCTAGAAAGGCATTTTGCATTGGGCTAATAATGGCATTTAGAGCTGAAGCTAATCTCCCCGAAAGGATTTTAGATATCACTTTATAGATCACATTGCAACAAGAAATGGGCCGAAAGTCAGCTGCTGTATTTACATTTGCTGCCTTAGGGATCAGAGCAATAATAGAGTGGTTAACTTGCTTCAAAAGTTTCCCAGAAGTAAAGAAATTCTGAACAGCCGCACAAAAATCCCCTCCAATGATATCCCATGATTTTTTGAAGAAGAATGAAGAGTAACCATCCGGCCCTGGAGCTTTATCATTCCCAATACCAAATAGAGCATTTTTAATGTCGTCATTGGATACAGGAGCTAAGAGAGACTCATGAGATCTTTCATTGAGGCAGGGCCCACTTTGAATAACATCAATATCTAGGGGGAGAGTTTCCTTGCAAGAGCCTAGGAGCTGCTGGTAAAACCTTACGAATTCTTCACCCATTTCAGCTTCTGATGTAGTCAGGGTGCCATCTCTACAGTGAATAGCAGGAATATAATTACGTCTGTTTTTCTGATTCATTAGTGCATGAAAGAAACTTGTGCCTCTGTCACTGTCTTTGAAAAAATTGCACTTAAGTTTCTGCGAGAAGAACATTTTCTCCAAAGATTTAAGATTCATTAGTGTCAACCGTAACTGCTTATCATGCTCCAATAGGTGTAAATTGTCCCTGTCATCATGAAGAGCAATTTGGTGATTCTCCAGTGATGCCTCAGCTCTAGCAACTCTTTCAGATATGTGGCTGAAATGTAGTTTATTTAGCTCTTTCAAAGGTCTCTTCAAAAACTTGAGCTTCTTACAAAGTGAGAACATAGGGGAGCCTTGGATGTGGCGGTTCCAGTTATCAGATATAATCTGCAAGAAATTATCGTGAGAAGCCCACATATTGAAGAATTTAAAATGGCGTCTCCCCTGTCTGTTCTGGTAATCAAACCGAATAATTGCTGGAGAATGATCAGTGAAGGCCCCAGGATTGCCGAAGTGGACGTGAGCTGGAGCTTGTAGTGAAGACCAAGATGAGTTGACTAGAACTCTATCAATTTTGCTCCATACTCTTCCATTATTCCAGGTAAAGTGGCAACCCGTGAAATTGAGATCAACAAGCCCAAGGTCTGTACAACATTCTCTAAAATCCGATGTTTCATAGGTGGAGACAGGCTCTCCATTGTGCTTGTCAGCTTGAGACAAGACAGAGTTAAAATCACCCATAACCAACCATGGGCAATTAGGCTGCCATGCTCTTAAGTCTGTCCATAGAGATCTTCTTGCAACAATTGTATTGAATCCATACACAAAAGTGACAGTGAAGCTAAGCTGGAGGACTAAGCTGCTGATAATTACATGTAGCCCTTGAGCTGAACAATCAAGTAAGTCGACTTTGACCGTTGATGGATTCCAAAAGACCAATATTCTGGCATTGTTGGCAGCTGTAGCATTAGTAAGGAACTTCCAGTGTTTCATCCGAAACTTATGCATGGAGGAAACCTTAGAAGAGTTCAATTTGGTCTCAAGAAGCCCACAAACATCCATTTTATGTTTCTTCATGAGGTTAACCACCTCATGTTGCTTCAGAGGACTGTTGAGTCCTCTGATATTCCAGCAATAGATAATCATTTACCAGAAGGAGAGGTAGGAGGCCTCCTACCACTACCACCTGATTTCCGAGTGCTACTCCTTGTAACCACACCTAGGCAAGCCGGAGGAGCTGTTTTCTGAGTGATCTCATTACCAACCGTCTCCCCAGTCCTGACAATGCAGCCAACCGAAATATCTTCACGAGATTGCTTTTCTGTTCTGAGCAATACAACATTTGAACCTGTCCTGCCTTCATTACTGATATTCGGATGAGTAATAGATTCATCACCCCGCACTCTAACATCCGTTGGGCCTGCCACTTCCTTGCCCTTATTGTTGCATGCCACTTCCTTGTCCCTGCTTGTTATCCTCTGGGGAGTAGCAGTAGCAGTTATAGATGTTTCCTTGTGACTGGAGTTAGACTTCCTCCCCTTTACCACTTCCCAGCCACCAGACACAGCTTCAACCTCTGCTTGCAGTGGATCTAAAGTCTGCTGAGGAGACTGACTACTCCCTTTGTTTCCCATAGCATTATTTGGTTTGGAAATGCTGGGGGAGTTCCTTGCTTTCTTGCTTCTGACTATTTCCCATTCTCCAGATGCAACTTCAATAGCCATAGGATCATAACTATGTGAGGACTCACCAATCTGCCCGTTAGCTTTTCCCTGGCTATTTGCAAGACCAATCTGCCCATCAACCGGTCCAAGGCGATTAAAGACACTGTGGTCCTTGTTTGTAGTGGTAGCTGGATGGTTTTGCTTGTCCACCGGTCTTGCCACCACCGGTTTAGGAGGAGGGGTACAAGCTCCCGTTTTGTGTCCTAAAACTTTGCA